TGTGTATTGATCAGAGTTTAAAACCATTTTCTAATGAGAAATTAAAGGTTCAGTTGAACAAATGATCTCTTTTGTCTCAATCAATGGATTATACAGTAACATCATAAATTTGAGTTGTTTACTAAGCCTTTTTGTTAGGGTACCTCCTTCATACTTGCTTTCTATTACAAATGAAACACATATAATCACTTTAAAAAATGTCTAGAATATCAAAAAATTTTCCACATGCTTTCAAGTATGACAGAAATCTTGTACATTAAAGACTAATGCCTGGCATGGTGGCACACACCTGTAATCCCAGCCACTAGGAGGCTGAGGCAAGAGGATCGCTGCGAGTTTCAAGGCTAGCCTGAAAAAAAAAATTACTTGCAATAAAAAGATATTTAGGCTGGGTGTGGCAGTGCACACCTGTAATCCCAGCACTTGGGAGGCTGAGGCAGGAGTTCAAGGCCAGCCTGGACTACAAAGTAAGTTCCAGGCTACCCTGAACTTCACAGTGAAACCCTGCCTCAAGGGGACATGGGGGGGAAAAAGAGGGGAAAAAGATACTTGGAAATGCTATTTAAGTAGTGCAATAAATGAGTCTCACTTGAAGGGCAAAAGTCTGTAAGTAAAAGTAGTGAAACTCAAATGGGCGTCCACTTTTCTTCATTCATTTTGTGACACTGGCGTATTATTTGCAATTTTCAAATCAAATTAAAAAAATTTTAAATTGACAGTGAGTAAACAGCCCAGTGTGCTGGCATGTGCTTATAATCCCAGGTACTTGGGAGGCTGAGGCAGGAGGAGAGTTCCAGGCCAGCCTGGGCTCTAAGAAATCTTTTGGTACTGGGAATTGAACTCAGGACCTTGCACTTGCCAGGCAGGTGCTTCTGCCACTGAGCTATATCCCCTGCCCGAGCTTGTGTCAAAACAAAACAAAACTGAAAGTCAATTATAGTCCTCCTGCCCTTGCCTGCGGCATCTGTGGCTGGGTAGTGGGGAAGAACCATCAGGAGACAAATTGATACTTTAAGCCTCTGGTGCCGAGGGGGATGTGGAGGAGGGCAGAAAGCCACTGTTTTAAATTCTCGCTGTATTTCCCATAATAGGGCTACTTACTTGCTAAATTTCTGATGGTTCCTGGGATGGGAGGCCCTACACTCACCATTTCTTCCTAGTGGAAAGGAGGAAACTGACCTCTTAGACGCTAATCATCAACTCCAATTCTATGCAAGTCATTTTTATCCTAGCCATGCCTCCACGCAGGTCTCACCTAACTCTCAGAGAACCATTTTTTTTTTTTTTTTTTGTACCAGGAAGCAAACTCAAGACCTTGCGCCTGCCAGGCTGGCGCTGTGTCACTGAGCTATATCCCTGGCCCAGAGATCCTTATTTAACGTCTATTCTTTTTTAAATTTTGAGTGTTTAGGGGCTGGGGATTTAGCTCGGTGGCTCAGCGGCATAGCGCCTGCCTGGCAAGCACAAGGTCGTGAGTTCAATTCCCGGCCCTGGAAAAAAAAAAAAAAATTTTTTTTTTGAGGGTTTATTAATGGGCTTCATCTTGGAAGATCCGTACATCCACAAAACATACTTTGGTCATTTTCACACAGCCCCACCAACACTGCAGTCCTGCCTTCCTCTTCTTCCTTTTTTGACTTCTTACACATTGTTCTCTGAGAATTCCATGATAACTTGTCAAGTAATTGCACAAAAAAAAAGATATAAACCAGGTGTGCTGGGGCACACTTATAATCCCAGTACTTTGGGAGGCTGGGGCAGGAGAATCACAAGTTTAACCCCAGCCTGGGCAACTCAGTGAGAACCTGTCTCCAAAATAAAAAGTAAAAAAAGGTCTGTGGATGTAGTTCAATGTGAAGGCCCTGGAATCAACTCCCAATACAAAAACAAAATAAAAACCAACAAAATCAAACAAAACAGATGCATGTTCACACAGCTTTCTCTATCATAAATATGGAAATATATTAAAAATCAGTTTTATTTTGAATCTCTTACGTAGAAACTTGACTGGTTTTTTGTTATCCCAGCACTCAGGACGCTGAGACAGGAGCATTGCCACAAGTTAGAGGGCAGCCTGAACTACATAGTGAGACTCTGTCTCAAAAAAAAAAACCATTGATCCAAATTGTACCAGGAGTACACAATCAAAAATCCCGAAGGTTGGAAGCCCAAAAAAGGTCTTCAGCAGATAACTACTAGGAGAAAGGAGTGGAGCAGGCTGCTTACAAGCTGTAGTGGATTGATAACTGGTGGTCAATTTATAATCCCCAGCAGAACTGACTAAGTGTGGTGCTGGGTGTGGGGGGCCCACCTGAGGACTGTTGCCAGCAGCATAAGAGGCAGACCTGGAGGAGGCTGTTGGGAGCTGGTAGAAGCTGTTGGGAGCTCGTTATGCTGGCTTTCCTGATGAACTTGGCCATCTTGATCATCAGAGGAGCTCAGGACCTCACTGTTGCCGAGGATGGCTGTGGTACCTTTCCGGGGAGCTCTGGTTCTTCTGAGCATCACTTCCTGGCTCCAGTGCAGATCCCTCAGCCTGCTAGCACAGATCCTTTCATCTTGCTGGCACAGACTTTCTAGATTCCACCACTGACCTTTGGGCCGTCCTAGCGCAGATCCGTGAAACAGGCCTGTGTGAGATACTGTTATGGGCCCTGGGCCTCCAGCTGGATTCATGGGAGGCATTATTATGGGCTCTATTCAGCTGGACTCACGTAGGACATTATTTCAGGATCCAGGCCCTCAGCTGGATTCCTGGTCTGTAGTGTGTGGACAGACTTCCTGCACTCTTTTGTACACTGTTCTTTGGGTGACTATTATAAATAACCATATGAAGTATGTGTCCTATATTATATTGTTCCCCTTGCAAAAATAAGCCCCAAACCCACACGCAAGCTAAACTTAAATGGCAAGGGATGGGGTAAATTATGGCCAAAGATGCACTCCTGGGAGAGAAAATTCTAAGTGCTTACCATAAAAACAGAATGGACTGCTGGGAAGATGGTGGAGTGGTGAACAGCAGATAAACAGCCTCTCTGAGATGTGGTATCCAGACAGTGGAATATAGTAATGTGAGGAAGAAGGAAGGAACTGAGTCCCCAGGACCTATCAAGGATCTGAAGCAAGAACTGAAGCCCACAGGGAGAGTGAAGAGAGAGACTTCAACAAAGAAGGAGGTGGTAAACAGTGCTTTCTCCCGAGCCCTGACTCACCGCATGGGAGGGGCAGCTCAAACCTGCAGACACACAGTGATGACTGGTGACCCCAGAGGTCTCCACGGAGAAATGCACCAGTGGAACGGAGCAGTGGATGCAGCAGACTGCAGTGGCTGGTGAGTTATTTGGGTTCAGACATCCCCCAGGAGAGGGTGGCTGGCTAGGAGCCATCCTGGAGAGGGGCCAACTGAGCTCAGAACTCAAGAGCAGCTGCAGGTTGACTCTATCTAGGGGCTCCCACTGTCAGGGTGAGGTGGAACCAAGTCCAATCTGGCAGGAGGTTAAGAAGCCGAGTTCAAGACAGCAGGGAACTGAATTCAAGCCAGCAGAAGGAGTAGAGTCTTGCAGGCTGCACAAACTGGATTCCAGCCTCACATCCAAGAAGCAGGGTGAACTTCAGTGGAAATAAAGGCGAAGGTTGCTGGCTCGCCAGCATTAATCAAGATGATCTGGATTCTGCCCGCTTTGTCTACCCTGACAGCAGAGATGTGCCTCTTAATGGACTTTTATTTTATTTCTCTTTTCTCATTTTTGTTTTTTTCTTGATTGGTGTTTTTATATGAATGTGGACAGTGTTTCTAGTTTTTTGTTGTTGCTGTTCTGTTCTTGTTTTTAATTTCTTCCTTCTCTTGTTCCCTCCTGTCTTCACCAGTTTCCCAAAGTTTCTGTGATCTTCCTCTGTCCTCCAGCCTTGCTTCTAATCTCTGCCTCTTCTATTTCTCTATTTTACCCCTTAACCCCTTTTAAATTTTCTCCTCTAAGAGTAAAAACCACATGTTGAGGGCATATTTGCTGTATACAATTTTCAGGTTTGTTTTAGATTTTGTTATATAACCACAAATCTAGTTCAAAGGTAGCAAATTAATTGTCTTCGTTACTTTTCTCTCATTGCTAAGACAAAATACCTGACACCCAGAATTAAGGAAGGAAAGGTTTATTTAGCTCATAGTGTGTGGAGGTTTCAGTCCATACTTGGCTGGCTCCTAGTCAGAGTGGTACATGGCAGAGGGCAAGCCCTCGCGGTGAAAGATAGCAAAGCAAGAGCAAAGTGGGGGAGCGGCAAACTGAGCAAGCCTCTTTCCCTCCCTATATTGTAAGTGGGCTACCCCCACCCAGGGGCCTGTAGCAGCCACACAATCCCCATGCCCTCCTCCTGCACAGGCTCAGGATGAATACAAAGTAAGCACACAGGCTCCCTGCTGAGTCACACAGTTAACCTTCTAAACTTCTCACACTGACACAATGAACACCATCCTAGAGCAGGAAGGGCATGTCCTTTTCACCCCAGGAGGTAGAACTGCTGAGTCACTTGCCAAACCTCTAGACTCCCCAATTTGACACAGTGTATCAACCATAACATTAATAGTTACCACAGTTTGTCATTTTCTAGCCTGTGTTTGATGCTGTTATTGCTGATTATACTACTCTAGCTAAGGTGACACAATTGTTCTAATCAGTTGTTCTACCTGGTATGCCAAGACTGAGATTGCTTAAGAGTCATAAACAATACTATAGGCCAGTGGAAACGAACCAGGGCCTAGGTCAAATAGGCAGCAACTTCTCATTCCCAATAAGCTGAAGGATTTTTTTGAGTCAGGGTCTTACTGGTAGTACAGGCATGCCTTGAACTCACTTATGTATTCCAGGTTAGCCTTAAACCCACAGCAATCCTCCTGCCTCAGCCTCTCCTTTGCTGGGATTATAGGCATCAGCCACACCTGGCAACCTGCTTGTTCTGCCCACCTCACAGTGGTTCTTTTGTTATTCTCAAACATACCAGGCAGCTTTCACTTCAGGATAACACATACAAAGGTGATGCACCATAAGAATTCCTTTTAAATAAAAAGGCCTGTGGCTGGGGATGTGGCTCAGTGGTAGAGTTCTTGTCTTGCATGCACAAGGCCCTGGGTTCCATCCCTAGTACCTCCCCCCTAAAAAAAGAACTGTGACACCAAGGACCAAGCCTCTAACATGTGAACCGTTGGAGGACACCCTCAAAACCATGTCCAAATCTTATTAAATAAAAATAACAATCATGATTTCCCGTCTCCAAATATACGCTGTCTCAGGTAGTCCACGCGAGCATCTGGGATTGACAGTGCCATGGAGTTCCACTCGAAGTGAGGGATCTGGAAGGTAAGCAAGGAGTCGGGTGAGAGTTTCAACAGCGACTGAAAACAGGGAAACTGAGCAGCCGCACAGAGGGGAGCTAGGGGAGCCCCATGGTGCGGCCTCACAGCCTGGCCTTGGGTCCGTGCAGGGGCTGAGTGGCTCCTCCTCCTTCACACTGCCCAGAGGACCTTTCCTGACCCGTCCTCCTCTCAGACCCCGGTTCCTACAGTGGCAGCACGGACATGCGTAGTGCTCACACCACAGCACAAGCCTTTCCTCCTGAGTCTGCCCCGCCACAGGGCCTCACCCCACGGGACGTGAACGTGCAAATCAGCAGCTCCACTAAAGACAGTAAAGGAAGTAATTTTCATTTCTTAGTCTACTAAAAACATATTCGGTATCACAGACATCCTAATATACCATTTTAATATGAAAAAGTAACTCTAAAATTTTCGTGTTAAAAGGAAATACCTGTATAGCCAGTGTCTCTGTGCTTTTTATGTTGAATTTATTTATTTATTTATTTGTTTATTTAGAGATAGGGTCTTGTTATATAGTTAAGGTTGGCCTTGAAATCACTGTGCAGCCCAGACTGGCATTAGGTTTATAGCGCTCCTCCTGCCTCAGCCTCCAGAGTTCTGGGATTACAGGAGTGCACCACTGCACCTGGCCTCTCTGTTGTTTACAGGATGAATTACATGAGTGTGTCATACCTGGATCACACGATAGCCCAAAATTTCTAAGTGTCGCTTCTTCATAGCAGGGTTTCCTTTTAAGTGAGGAATATTTCTACAAAAAGCTTTTGAGTTCAGGAATTCGAATGCAATCCTACATAAGGAAAAAAAAAATACTGTATTTCCAAAATTAAAGTGAGAAACTGAATAAGTATAAGCCTTTCAGGAATAAGAATGTATAAGCTAATGAAAGCCAGATGAATATAAATGAGTAACCCATGTTATTTTTTCTACTTAAGAAATTAGTAACTAGGGCTGAGGATGTAGCTCAGTGGTAGAGCACTTGCCCAGCATACACAAGACCATGAGTTCAATGCCCAGTACTGCCAAAAAAAAAAAAAAAAAGAAAAGAAATTAGTAACTGATAACAATTAAACCTATTTGTTTCTTTTTTTGTTTCTGTTTTTATTTTTGTTTTCTTTTTGAGATAGGGTCTGGCTATGCAGTTCAGGCTGGCCTTGAGCTCACTTTGTAGCCCAGGCTGGTCTTGAACTCCCAATGATCCCCCTGCCTCAGCCTCCTGAGTGCTGGGATTACGGGCATGCATCACCACGCCTGACTATACCTATTTGTTTAAACTAGATGATAGTAAAAGAGCTCCCGGCTTTCATGCATTTGTTCCTTTATCCAATATATACTTATTTTTTTTCAGTATATATGTATTACACAACCACAATGCATAAGGAGCTCACACATGAAGATAAAGCAAGTGGCTTAGTGTAACAGAGCACACAGGAGGAACCGCAAGGGAGGAAGTAGTGAGTGCTGTGTGGTCAGCGGAAAGGCGTGGGAAGACACCACTCACTCCCAGCCTAGGCGACCCGCTCAGCACCTTGGTTAGACACTGCCGGCTTTGACCCAATGAGGTAAGACAGTAAGATGCAAGCACAGGAGGGCGAAGGTCCACGGGACAACCGTGTAAGTTGCAGGAAGAGCAGAGGCTCCTATGATTGCTCCTTGAAAGCTGAGGTCATATTATAAGGCCAGATTTTACATTTAGATAAAATTTGAAATTAAGAAACACATTACCTTTCAGCTCCAGATGGAAGACTTGATCGCACTGTTTGGATGTTTGATTCCCAGTACATTCCTGCTGGGTTCCCCAAAGTTGCATTATGGCTTCCGTAAGAAAGAGGCTGTTTTCTTTTATCCAAGATACATTCAAAATCTTATGGAAGTATAGGAACCAACAGTGTAATTAGGTACCTGCTTACAGGCAGACAATGAAGATATATTTTTAACACAAATATACGGTGTGTACATACACACGTGCGCATGTGCATGGAAGAACGACAAGCCTCCCTAACCATCCAACTTGTTTTCTAAGATCTGGTCCACGGGCGCCTCTCTTTGAAAACAATCAAAATCAATCAGCAGTTCTTAATAAACTGCAGCACAGGGCTGCAGGTAGCACCAGGCTGGGCCAAATCCTATTAAGGATTTTATCTCCTTAAGTCTCTTGGTCACCTTAGGAGGGAGCCAGAATAGCGCATCCAAAAAGAAATAAAGACAAAGACTCAACCCTGCTGTTTGTGGAGCTGCCGGCCCAGCCCTGGACTCTGCACGTATGAGAGGAAAGAAACGGGTGATTTAAGTATCTCCTATTTGTGGGTTTTTGTTCCTCATTGCTAAACCCAATCTGGTGCAAAATGAAAAAACCAACGATTACTCAGTTTACCTCCTGCCCAGTGTAGAATACGGGTGCGCACGCGCACACACACACACACACACACACAGCTACCTCCATGGTCATTGACCACCCCGCCTCTGCCCCATTCTTACTTTTTCACAGAGCAGCCCATAATTCTCTTTGCTTCCGTTATATTTTGTTTTTGTTTTTGTTTTTTTAATTTTAAAGAGTAAAAGAAGGATAACATAGTAATAGAGGGGCTTACCAAATTACAGACAAAGTGGTAGGAAATTATCAATGGTTGTTGTTTTACATATTGTTTATTTTTTTTATTTTTATTTTTTTTGTTTTTCTCCGGTACTGGGAACCGAACTCACGACCTTGCGCTTGCCAAGCAGGCGCTTTTGCCACTGAGCTAAATCCCCAGCCCCTGTTTTACATATTGTTATCTACAAGATAGTTTCTCAGGAAAACAAATAGACAAATAACAGTGAGTTACAGACAAAAGCTGTAGGAGATTATCAATGGTTGTTGTACTATACTTTGGTATCTTCAAAGTGGCTTCTAAAGAAAATAAATAGAGCTATACATGAGTGACCAATTGAATAATCATTGACTATTCTCAATGGTTGCTGTTGGAAACACATAATAATAAACATACATCCATTTACGAAATAGGACAGGAACAATACAAACATTTCAGAGTTATGGACAGATTAGTAGGAAAATATCAATGGCTGCTGTAATACATGGTGGTATCTTCAAAGTGGTTTCTCAGGAAGACAGAGATACCATTATGTTTTTTTTGAGACAGGGTCACACTATGTAGTTCAGGCTGCCTTCGAACTTACTATGTAGCCCAGGCTGTCCTTGAACTTGTGGCAATCCTCCTGCCTCAGCCTCCCAAGTGCTGGGATTATGGTTGCTGGGATTAAGTGTTACAATCTTTCCATCCCTGAAACAGAGATACTGTACCTAGTTCTTCCACACATCCTTCCTTCAAATGTCTTTCTTTTGTTTGGTCTTGGATTTTTTTATTATACTGTGGTGCTGGGGCAAACAAAGTTATGTTCCCCTTAAGACTTCTATTTTTCAGACTAACCATCCCTAGATTCTTTTTCCAAATAAAATGTATTGAGCACGTACTATGTTCCATTACTAAATGCTTTACATTCTTTTTTTTTTTTTTTAAATGCTTTACATTGAATGCCTATGTAATCCTACTAAACCGGCACTATTATCCCCATTTTACAGATAAAGAAACTACCAAGGAACTGGGCATAGTGGCTCATGCCTGTAATCTCAGCTTCTCCAGAGGCTGAGGCAAGAGGATCACAAGATTGAGGCCACACAGGGCAACCTGGTGAGACCCTGTCTCAAATAATATTTAAAAAGGGCTGGGATATAGCTTAGTGATAGAGCACACTTGCCTAGCAGGCACAAGGCCCTTGGCTTTGATCCCCAATACTGCCAAAACAGAAAAATTAATAAAAAGAAGTTGCTCAAGCTCTGAACTCCATGACACTGTAGTCCTCTCTAGTTCTAAGACTGAGTTCTAGGTCCTTCCCAATCTGTCCTCTGTTTCTAGACCCTTTTGTCACTGTCTCTCAAAAGGGCATCAGGCCAAAAGGGAAAAAAATGTGAAGTACAGGACGCAGTGAGGTTACCAACTGTGTTAGCATTAGTATAGCAAAAACAGTATTTGTTTTTTGGTTTTTGATTTTTTTTTTTTTTTTTTTTTTTTTTTTTTGGTCTTTTTGAGACAGGGTCTCACTGTGTAGTTCTGCTGTGAGCTCACTTTGTAGCCCAGGCTGGTCTCAAACTCACAACGATCCTCCCGCCTCAGCCTCCTGAGTGCTGGAATTACAGGCGTGCGCCACCATGCCCAACTAAAAATAGTATTTGATTTTGGCAACCATTACATTAAGCAGATATTTTCTAAAAAATCTGTGCAATCCTCTTAAACTTTTATCTTTTTCATTTAAGGTATCAGGTTAGGGTCACATGCACAGTATCTTTGAAAATCTTAGTCCAGGCTGATAACTCAAGTTAGTTTTAGAGATGAACTTACAATAATGAATCATAATACAAGAATTAATTTTCCTGTTCTCTATCCAATAGGCACTGGATAGAGAACAGAATCTTTGAAGATCCAGTGAGTCTTTTGTTCATTTTTTTGAGACAAGGTCTTGCTCTGTAGCCTGGGCTGGGCTTTAACTCACAGCAATCCTTCTGCCTCAGCCTTCCAAGTGCTAGGATTATAGGCCTGAGCCTACAGTGCCCAGCAGTCCTGAGTCTTAATCTGGGTTTTACACACAGTTGACCTTAAATTTTTTTTTCTTTTCTTTGTCGTTTTTTTTTTGAGACAGGGGCTCACTCTGGCTGGCCTTGAGCTCATTTTGTAGCCCAAGATGATCTCAAACTCAAAACAATCCTCCTGCCTCAGCCTCCCAAGTGCTGGGATTATAGGTGTGTGCCACCACACCTGGCCCTTAAATTTTTTTTCTGAAAAACATCAAAATGCCGATGGTTATCCAAACTGGGCCATGAGAATTTGAAGATTAATTATATTCTTTCTATTTGTTTGTAAATTTTTATAACAACCACAAAAAAAAAAATTTTAAACTTTCTTTTCTTAAATTCCAGCTAATGAAGGGGCTGGGGATTTAGCTCAGCGGCACAGCACCTGCCTGGCAAGCGCAAGGTCGTGAGTTCGATTCCCAGTACTGGAAACAAAACAAAACAAAAAATTCCAACTAATGAGACGCTTGTATTCAAATCAGCTTGGTCCTCAGAAGTAGTAATTCCTGGTCAGTGACTTACCTACTGTGTGATAATACGGTGACAGAACAGAGGCTTTTACAAAACTGGGTCCTCCTAGTGCCTCTGCTAGGATTTTATAAATCTGCTGCTGTGCTCCATTTATGCTGCCAGTATCTTTATGAAAATAAAAACAGATAGTTCACCTAAGTTAGTCAGACTTTGAGTGACCATCCCAATTCTACACACTGAAAATCAAAGACTATTTCCAAGAACTTTGATGTCATACCACCAAATTAAATACAAGTTCTTGCTCTCAATAAAAATGTTTAATGTCCTAATTCACAAATTCTTGGGTGGTTTTTTTTTTGGGGGGGAGGGGTTTCAGTACCAGGAATCGAACTCACAACATCGTACTTGCCAGGCAGAAACTGTGCCACTGAGCTAAATTCCCAGCCCCTTTTTTTGTCTTTATGAGATAGGGTTTTGCTATGCAGTTCAGGCTGGCCTTGAACTCACAATGATCCTCCTGCCTCAGCCTCCCAAGGGCTGGGATTACAGGCATGTGCCACCACGCCCAGCAAGAAATTCTTATCCCTTGTTACACAACGCTCACCTACAATATCTCACCTAAAACATGAATAGGTGATGGCCTTCTTGGAAATTCTAGTGCCATGTTTAGATTTAATAATAACAATGTCTTACCTAAAAATTTACTTCCTAATTAAATTTCACTATCTCACAAGAAGAAGACTCAAACCTTTATTACATTGTTGTTGACAGAAGCGGTCATGAAACCATGGAATTTGAAACTCAGGACATTCCAAGCAGACAGCTCTATTCAACTCCATCAGATGAAACTGGACCTTGCCACTCAGAGATGAAGTTAAAACTGAAACAAAAAAGGAAACGCTCATGGACTTTGATACTCCGGGCCTAGCAGAAAACAACTCATTTTTTCTCATCATTTATTCTCACTATTAGGGATACTTTTATTCTCATATTATATAAAATCACTTTATTTCTGTACAAATGCCTTATATTTTAAAATTATTATAGTCAGTAGCATCATCAGGATCAACTTCTACACTATTATCATTAATTGTACATTTAAAAACTATTGTACTTTTTGTTTAAGACAGGGCCTTGCTATATAGTTCAGGCTGGCCTGGACTCATTATATAGCCCAGGCTGACCTCAAACTCACGGCAACCTTCCTGCCTCAGCCTCTAGAGTGCTGGGATTACAGGTGAGCGCCACCATGCTTGGCTCTGGAAATAAATTTTAAAATGTAGTTCTAGCCAGGTGTGATGGTGCATGCTGGTAATCCCACTACTCAGGAGGCTGAGGCAGGAGGATTGCTGTGAGTTTGAGGCCACCCTGGGCTATATAGTGAGTCTAGGCCAGGCTGAAATGCACACTGAGACCCTGTCTGGAAAAAAAAATTTTTTTTTCCTTGACCTAATATTTTATATTTAAGAATTTATCCTGAGGAAATGATTCATCTCTAATAATTCATTACATGTAATAATGAGGAACTGGAAACAACCTATACCATAACAAGTAAGTTTTTCATTTTTATTTATTTATTTATTTATTTCAGACAGGGTCTCATTGTTTAGTTCAGGCTGGCCTTGAAACCCACTTATGTAGCCCAGGCTGGTCTCGAACAAGTAAGTTTTATTACGTCTATATAATGGCATATTATATATCCAATAAGAATGATATAAAAAAATTAATGATATGGAAAATTATTCAAAATGTAGTTAGACAAAGAAGGCAACATTCCAAAGTGAATATGTAAATAATTCAAATTTGTTTTAGAATGTATATAAATGCATGATACGTAAGAGCAGGAGAGAAACAGAAAAGAAATACTCCAAGGGATGGGGCAGTAGAATACATGTTTAGCACGTGGTGGGCTCGAACTCTTACAAACAAACAAATGGAGGAGATAGGGACAGGGACAACAGAGGAGCAAAAAGAAGGGAAGAGAAGGAAAGAGAGAAAAGGAAAAGAAAGAAAAAGAAGGGAAGCAGGGCACCGTGGTGTACTGCAGTAATCCCCATAGTCAGGCTGAGGCGGGAGGATCACTGTGAGTTCAAGGCCTGCCTGGGCTACACAGCGAGACCCTGTCTCGAGACACACACACACACACACACACACGCAGAAAAACAGAAAAGAAAGAAGGAAGGGAGAAAGGAATGAAGGAAAAAAAAAGAACTACTCTACAACATTAAAAGCAGGGGCCAGGGATTGGCAATTCAGCTCGTGGAACATCGCTGCCTGGCAAGCATGAGGTCTTGAGTTTGACTCTTGGTACCCACAAAATATTTTTTAAAAAATAAACCATTAAAAGTAGTTTTGGGGCTGGGGATTTAGCTCAGCGGCAAAAGCACCTGCCTGGCAAGTGCAAGGTCGTTGAGTTCGGTTCCCGGTACCGGAGAAAAACCAAAAAAAAAAAAAAAAAAAGTAGTTTTAGGCCAGGCATGGTGGCACACACCCATAATCCCAGCACTCAGGAGGCTGAGGCAGGAGGATCATTGCAAGTTCCAAGACCAGCCTGGCTACTGTGAGCTCAAGGCCAGCCTGAACTGCATAGTGAGACCCTGTCTCCAAAAGACAATCAATCAATCAATCAATAAATATTTTTAAAAAGTAGTTTTAGGCTGAGAATGTAGCTCGGTGCTAGAGCACTCAGCTAATGTGTGAGGCCCTGTACCTCCAATCCCCAGTACCAACCAATCCATGAAGTAGTTTTACTCGGTGGTTAAAATTATGGGTATTTCTTTCTGTATGGTTTTTTGAGACCGGGTCTCACTGTGTAGTCCATCGCTGGCCTTCACCTCGACACACAGTCAGGATGTGTACTCTCTTGAGCTTGCGATTCTCCTGCCTCAGTCTCCTAAATGCTGGCATTAGAGGTAGCTGCCGCAACACCTGGCTTTTACGTTTTATATTTTCATATGTTTTCCAAATTTTTTACAATAATCATGACAAGAGGAATTTTTTGGTGGTGCTGAGGATCAAACCCAGGGCCTCATCAACATTAGGAAAGTGCTCTTCCCTGAGCTACGGCCCCAGCCACCACGAAACGCTTTTATTAACAGAAATGTTACTAATATTTAAACGCAGTCAGTAGGAACTGGGCATGGTGGCACATCGCTATAATCCCAGTGCTCTGGGAGGCTGAGTCAAGAGGATTACAAATCCGGGCAATTTAGGGGCTTGAGGAGACCCTGTCCCAAACTGCAGGAAAATGAAAACAAGGGCTGGGAACAGCTAGTGCAAGGCCTTCGGTTTAACCCCCCCGGCGAGGAGGAAGGAGAGCTTCAGTAGGGGTAGAGCTGAAGTTTGGATATAAAATACAAAGGATAATTTAATGTATACGTACTTTCGAGCTGAGGATCTAATCTGGCTAAGAACTGGATGTTAAAAATTGCCTTCAGCAGATCTTCTGGAAAATATTCCAGTGTGGCCAAAGCGTAGCCAAGAAGCACTAACACAGGGGGAGACAGTGCACCTGGAAGAGAACGGAGACTGAGTAAAGGAGGCACCGCCGCCCGCACACCCGCGTTGTCTAGCCAGCCCGAGTTAAGTCCACAAAAAGTGAGAAACATGGACACCACCAGTCCATTCTGCTTGAGAGTCAGGAAGGGGTCACCTCTGGGTGTGGCAGGTAAGAAAGGGGGCAGCGCAACGGTACGGGGTAATAGTCTGTTTCCTGACCCAGGGACTAAGTCCTTGAAAGATTCAGTTTGTGAAAATTCAAGCTATTACACTAAGTTAAATGAATGTGGTTGCTGGAATTGCACTTTACCTATAATTTTAAGAACCGCCTTGAAAAGAGAAAAAAATTCAAACCCAAAGGACAGTGGTACCTGGAGGAGAAGCGCTCCGGGGCGCGGAGTCTGGTGACACTGAGTGCTGGAGATAGAGCTCGCGCCGGAGCGAGGCTGGCTGACCCGGCGGCAGCGGTATTTGCTCTGCTCTGTGAGGCAGCAGAGTAGTGAGTGGGTGGGGGAGACTCAGAGCCCGGCTCCACCACACACACTGCTCTCTGGGGACTCAGATCCAGGCTGAGCACACGCCCCAGGGGCTCGGCTTTGGCCTTAGCGTCTCCCCCGACCTGCCCCCCACAGCACAGCCGATGTTCTGAGGTAGGGGAGGGGCCAACTGAAATGCCCCACTGGTGTTTTTTTTGTTTTTTTGTTTTTGGTGCTGGAAATCGAACTCAGGACCTTGCACTTGCCAGGCAGGCACTTGTGCCACTGAGCTGTATGCATGGCCTCACTTGTGTATTTCTATAAAGGACAGAAAAGCCAACATTAAATCTGTCCCTTCGGATTTTTTGCTGAATTTATTTATTTGTTTTTTGAGACAGGATCTTGTTATATAGTTCAGACTGGCCTTGAACTCATTATGTACCCCAGGCTAGCCGTGAACTACCAGATCCTCCTGCCTCAGCCTCCCAAGTGCTGGGATTGCAGGTGTGTGCCACCACATCTGCCATGAATTTATTTAATAAAGTAAGGCCAAGTCACAAATGAGGCTAACAGTAATGATCTCTACCAGCAAAACTATCCCATCAAAACTAATGTATACTTAAAACAAAGGAAATTATTAGTCCATCAGTTAACTAATTTTACTATGAAGGTCTCTAAGAATTTTTCAAACATTGCCAGGTGTGGTGACGCATGCCTATAATCCCAGCACTCGGAAGGCTGAGGCAGGAGGATCGCTGTAAGTTCCAAAGCCAGCCTGGGCTACAAAATGAGCTCAAGGCCAGCCAACTGCATAGGGAGACCCTGTCTCAAAAGGACAAAAAAAAAAGAAAGAAACCATTATTAGCCAGGTGTGGTGGTGCATACCTGTAGTCCCAGCACTCAGGAGGATGAAACAAGAGGACTGTTGTGAATTCGAGACCAGCCTGGGCTACAAAGTGAGCTCTAGGCCAGGATGAACTCCATAGCAAGCCCCTGTCTCAAAAAGACCCCCAAAAAAGAATTTTTCAAACATTAAGTGGGCTGGGAATAGTAGTGCACAACTCTAATCCCAGCCCTTGGGAGGCTGAGGCAGGAGGATCATAGGTATGAGACTAGCCTGGGTAATTCTGCAAGACTCTATCTCAGAATACAACATGAAGGGCTGGGAATGTAGTACTCCTTGGGTTCAGTCCTCAATACATGTATGTGGGGGCATATAAAAAACAATTCGATGTTACATGCTTTCAGATATGATATAAGGAAAGTTATACTGCACTGCAAAGTATTTTTGCTGAAAATGTTTACTCTGAACTTAATTAAGCTTCTTTACCTAACTCCTAGTTCACTAGAAATATAAGAGATAGAGGAGCAAGTTAGAACAAATCAATCGGACAAATCCATAATGTGATACAATTTCTAATAAATGATCCTTACCGCACAGGAACTATCACAAAGAATCAACAACTGGGTTCTCATCTTATTAAACAGCTTTTGCACAGCAAGAGAAACCACCTACAGAGTGAAGAGACAACCCACAGTGTGGGAAAAAATGTTTGCCATCCGATCCTCAGACAAAGGATTACTACCGAGAGCAGATAAAGAACTAAATAAAAAAATGAGACCTCCCAAATTTAAAGACCCAATCCAAAAATGGGCACCTGAGATGAATACACACTTCTCAGATGAAGAAATATAAACAGCAAATAAATATATGAAAAAATGTTCAACATCGCTGGTCATTTGAGAGATGCAAATTAAAACAACACTGAGATTCCATTTCACCCCGGAAAGAATGACTACCATCAAGAAACCCACCAATAACAAATGCTGAAGGTGCTGTGGGGAAAAAGGAACACTTCTCCACTGTTGGTGGGAGTGTAGACTGGTACCACCACTGTAGAAATTCTGAGGAAATCGGAGATTCCTCAGAAAACTCAGGATTAGAGATCCCATTTGAGCTTGCTATTTCCCTTCTGGATATCTTCCCAGAAGAATTAAAAACACAGCAATATATGTGCACCCATGTTTATAGCAGCACAGTTTGTAATAGCTAAATCTTGGAAACAACCCAAATGTCCATCAACTGAGGAGTAGATAAAAAAGATGTGGTCTTTTTATACAATAGAGTACTACTCAGCCATAAAGAAGGATAAACTGGAGCCTTTTAAAGGTAAATGGATGCAAATCAAGACCATACTCGTAAGTGAAATAAACCAGACGCACATGTGTAAAAATCGTTACTGTCTCCCTAGTGTGAGAAGCTGAAAGAGTAAATAAGATCCAAAATGTATAACAGATACTGTAAAAATGGGAAGAAACTTCAAAAGGAAAGACAGACTAGGATGGGGGAAAGGAGAAAAGAAGAAAAAGCAAAAAAAAAAAAATATATATATATATAAATATACACAGGCATATACACACAAGATAGTTAAGATAGTAGTTATACTACTAATTTCTCTTAGTTCTTAGTGCAAAGAAAGGTTTGCAGTAATACTGTTTAGACAATTAAATGCCTATATCTTATACTCTGATTCTTTTTTTTTTCTTTCTGGTATTGGGAATCGAACTCATGACCTCAGGCTTGCCAGGCAAGCGCTTATGCCGCTGAGCTACATCCCCAGCATTACACTCTGAGTAACTAATTTAAGATAACAATATGCAGTGTGTTAACGATTGTTACTCCCCTATTACCTTGTTTTGAAATTTTGTTTTATCTTTTTCTCTTTAAAATAAAATTTAAAAAACCAAATCAATCAGACAAATCTATACTGTGATACAATCTATAATAAATGATCAATCTATTATAAACAAATAAATACAGGAAAAAATGAGGAAAAGTAACAGAAAAGAGAAGAAAATATAGACTATGGGAGACAAACAGGTAACAACAAAAAATGTGGATTTTGACTGGAATTCTCTAAGAAGTATTTTGGGAGCGACTAGGCAGATTTACACATAAGCTGTCTACAGGTATCTGGGGAATATTAGGTTTCTTAGGTGTGCTAGAGGCATGTGGCGTCACAGGACAGCGTCCTCATTCTTAGCAGCTGCATCCGCAGTCATTAGGGGTGAGGCTCACGATTCCTAGCACTGACACGGCACTGACATGGCACAGAAAAGAGTGAGCAAGAGACAAAGAGATAAAGCAGGTATGGTAAAATGGTGACATTACTGACCCTCCAGCGTGAGCACACAGGTGTTCCCTGTTCAATTCTTTCAATCTTTCATATAAGCTTGACATTTCCCATAATAAATTTCCCCCCAAAATACAAAACATGCACTGTATAAACACACAGCGCCTTTTAAGGTTCAGAATCCACGGCTGTCTCTGTCATTTTCTCACTGCTGAGACACAATACCCAACACTCAGTAAGGAGGACGGGAGGTTTATTCTGGCTCATGCCTCAGTCCATAGTCAGCTGGCCTCAAGGCAGAACGGCATGGCAGAGGGGCCTGGCACCGGCAAGGCTGGAACCACCCGCCAGGTCAGGCAGCCAGGGAGCAGAGTGAAGGGAGGAGGCAGGAGGGAGACGCACCTTCCAGGCCACGCCTGCAGTGACCTGCCTCCTAGCAGCAAGCCTGCTATAGCCCCATAATCCTGCCTTCTTCCGGTAATCTCACCTATGAGCTCAGGAGGCTCCAGGGGCCATCCAGATATAAACCACAACAATGGCTGCTATAGCTACACCAAGATGAGGGACCTCTTAGCTCAGTACCCTGTGATCTACTAATTCAACCCGCTACCCAGCCACACACTTACTTACCTAAGTGAGAGTGAAGGCACTGCACGCACACTCCCAAAAACTCATCCCTTTGAGGTGGGTCATAGTTCAAGCGGCTGAATGGTAGAATAATAGCCAGGACTGAGAAAGGATGGATCTGTATAAAGCGAACAGAAATTTTTATAGTTTAAACTTTAGTAAAAATAAAACCAAGTTTTAGCCTAATTATTATTTAGATGAAATCCTTTTCTAACATGACTATAAATGATAAAGGAACCATTCTACTCATTAATTATTCCATTCTGGTATAGATGATTTAACCCTGTGACTATTTATTAGTAACTCAGAAAATGTTAATGGAAAAAGTCAGATAATGTACAAATTAATTTTGTTACATGAACAATCCTTCATTTCCAGAATACACTACTCATGAATTTAGGAGATGAAATATCACTCATATCTTTGATATTAGTATATTTTATAGAATCCTCATACAATATAAAGTTTCTTAATAATAATCATAGTGTTTATTTTTCTTTTATTCTTTTTTTAAAAATTTCATTATTCATTCACCCAATTCAATACTTAATGACTACCAAGCACTAAGCTAAGCAAACAGACTTTTATTTTCATTTGTGAGAAAAACTACCCTCTCAGTAAAAGTCTTATCCTGATATACATACAATGGTGATTCTGTGCTGCTTCTCACATAATCCACAGAGCAATAGTTTGCAAGTTATTTCCAGAAATGAATCAGAAAAAAGATACATTGACAATTTAAGAACAATGGTGCCAGTAGATACCTTATCATTTTCTAAATTTTCATGCCTAACCAGCAACTTTGTAAATGTTTTTAAACACCGCTGGATTATAGAGAGTAAGAAAAAAGAAAGCAAACATACACCACTATCTTACTACTATCTTATCTCACTACACAGCTTCCTTGTTAGTTAAAGAATTCAGATTCCTTTTTTTTTTTGTCTTTTTGAGACAGGGTATCACTATGCCCTTCAGGCTGGCCTTGAGCTCACTTTGTAGCTCAGGCTGGTCTCGAACTCGCAGCGATCCTCCTGCCTCAGCCTCTGGAGTGCTGGGATTACAGGCGTGCTCCACCACACCCGGCTTACAATTCTGATTCCTGATGTTGACAATATTGCAGAGAGGCCACAGACACTGCTGACTCAGCCACGCCTGCTACGCCAGAAGAAGAAAGGGCTTTAAGGCAAAAGCCTTGACAAATTGCTGAACCAGAAACCAGAGTTTCATTTTTAAACTTCAAATACTTTTCCAATTTCCAAAAGTACTTATGATAAAAAAATTATGCTTGTAGAAGCTAGCAAGTCTATAATTAATATGTGAAAGGAAAAATTTAAAAGTAAAAAGTAAATAGATCAAATTAATATGTAACTTTTCAACTTCACCTTTTCAATCTGCTGAACAACCACCGCTGCTATCCTATCGAGTAGCGAAGTGCTGAGGTAGTTATTTTCATACACAAAGGATGCAATCTTTGCAACATTTGTGTAATTAATTTCATCCATCAAATGCTGCAAAGCAGCAATTGTTTCCTCCAGAACCGATTCATGTAACCTGTCCCCTTTTACATATTTAAGTTCTTCCCATAAGAGATGTAGATTGTTGCTCTGTCGTAATCTCTGCCGACTGTAGAGATTTAGTGTGTGAAGGAGTTTCAGCTGTTTCCCAATAACTCTACCGAAATACATGTGATCACTCTCGATCCATCTTAAAACAAACGTGGTGAAATTAGTGAGGCTACTGAGGTCACACTGGGGTAAAAACGCTTCAATCCGGGACAGCACGGCTTCGTCCTGGTGAGCAGAAGGGAGCAAGGAGAGGGCGCAGAGCAGGCTGGCAGTCTCCATCACGCGGAAGCTACCCTTCAAGGAACTAGAAAGCAAGCAGAGAGAAGGAAAGCAAAGCCACTAGACCAGCAGCAAAACAATACGCATTAAATTATGAGCCTACCATTATGCTTATAATTACTAGGTGAGCTAGGCCTAAAATACAATTAATTTAAGAAGACTTAGATAAATTCAAAGATGACAGGTCCTGAAGGTTTACTAAGATGTCCTAGCTTTTCCCTCCAAAACAAAACCTGAGTCCCTGGCTAACAAAATGTCGCTGTTGGAACGATGTTTCCAGCGCTATCACTGGAGCTGGACTTTGGGTTTGGTTTCTGATCTGACCTATCAGAAGCTGATACAACCTAGCACAGGCCCTGGCCCACAGTGGTCGCTCAATAATATTTTTCTTCTCATGCCTCGTATGTAGGAAGTCCAACCACAACAGTCCCACCTCCAGCATAGCAACAGTCAAACCACAAGTTAAAAACTTGGAGCCTTTAGAGAATCTTTGTAAGTAGTAGAAGGAATAATCCAATTTAAAACAAAATTAGCCTGGCATGGTGACATACACCTGTAATCCCAGCACTCTAGGAGGCTGAGTCAGGAAGATTGCAAGTTCAAACCCAGCCTGGGCAATTTAGGACCTAGTAAGACCTGTCTCAGTATAAAAAATGTCTGGGGATGTAGCTCAGTGCAAAGGCCCTGTGTTCAATTCCTAGTACTTGGGGGAAAAAAATAGCATAATAAAATAATCATAATACTCAGTGTTAAACCAGGTATGGTGGTACACACATATAACCCCTGCACTCAGGGGGCTGAGGCAGGAGGATTGCCATGAGTTCAAGGCCAGCCTGGGCTACACAGTGAGACCCTATCTCAAAAAAAAAAAAAAATTCAATGCTAGAAAGGTGCATCAATGTAACACTACAATGGTACACTGATATAGGCATTCTTATTTTCTATTAGTAAACTTAAAAGCTTGCTGTAATTTTTCTGTACAGTAACTGAGCAGTATGGCTTAAGTACTTTAAAAGTAATTATATCATTTGATGTGAAGAAGCTCTACCTAGGAAACAAATCCAGGGAAAAAACCTAAACTACACATAACCTGGACACAAAAATCAATCATACTATATGACTCCATTATATAAATATAAAGGCATCCAGGCACGCTGGTGCACATCTATAATCCCAGCTTCTTGGGCGGCTGAGGCAGGACTGCACACTCAGGCCAATGTGGGCAACTGGGACACTGTCTGAAAATGAAAGGATATGACTCAGAACTTTCTGGTTCGGTTCCAAGGCCTAAAAAATCAACAAATAAAGTACAAAGGCCCAACTAATCCATATAGTTAGAAGGAGAAATAGTAGTTAACCGTAAAAATGAGGACAAAGTAATAGGAAAAGGTGTACATTTTATGTAGATTATACTTAAGTTAAAAAATAAACAATATATAAACTGGGTATAGTAGCACAAGCACGAGTGGAAAATGGAGGGAAAAATATAAATCTGGTTTGAACCTCACTTCATCTCAGACATTATTTTAGTCTTTTTCTTTTCTTTTACTCTTTTTGGGGAGAAGGGTGCTGTGGATTGAACCCCGGGCCTCGAGAATGTTATCCAAGTTCTGTACCACTAAGTTATATACTCATCCCCATTCTAATTTTTTTTTTTTTGAGACAGAGTCTCACTATACAGTTCAGGCTGGCCATGAACTTGCAGCAATCCTCCTGCCTCAGCCTCCTGAGTGCTGGGCTTACAGGTATGTGCTACCACCCCTGCCCGTTCTAATTTTTAAAATAAAAATTTTCATGGAAAATTTCATTTTAGCCTAACAATATAAAAGTCAATGAAAAATGGAATAACTTCTTAGTAAAAATAAAATTGTTTATTGTTAATTCCTATCATCTTGTTTTAAAATCCTGTATTGTTTTTATTGTTTTTGTGTTGCTTTGTTTTTGTCTTTGTTGTTATTATTTTGTTATTGTTTTTTCTCTTTAAAACAAAAAAATTGTTATATCCATAGAAATGAGTTTACATTATTACAAAGGAAAAATTCTATATGAAAACACTTCTTCACTAACATGTCTGTTACACGGCATATCTTATTGTAAAAGCTAACTAATTAAGCTGCACTTGATCACACATACCTGAAATCCTAGCTACTTGGGAGGCAGAGGCAGAGGGGTCACAAGGTGAAGGACAACCTGAGCGGCATAAACAGATGCCTCCCCTGCCAGGGAAGTTAACTTAAAAAAAGGGAATGAGCCAGACCAAAGTGCTGTAATTATGAGCTTCTGAATGGAGTTTTGCCCTTCATAACAGCCTCAATCTTTCAACTGTTATTCCATTCCTACAGGAAAGAACAGCCTGGCTATTCACTTGCTACTGTCTTCCTCCCATCAACCACCCTATAGGCTTAATTTCTTTTTGTTGTTTTTTTTTAAGACCGGTTCTCACTATATAGTACAGGCTGGCCTTGAACTCATTGAGATCCTGGTCAGCCTCCCGAGTGCTGGGATTTTAGGCATGTACCACCAATTCAACATATAGCAAGCAAAGACACTGGCAGAATGGTCACAGAGGGAGGTAAGTGTCTTAGCATTTTTAATGGTTTGATCTTACTACTGTTTTATTTTGGTTTTTGGAGTTTTGGTGGGGCGGGTCGAACCTGGGGTATCAAGCACACTGAACAAGTGCCCTACCACTCAGCCATACACTCAGGCCTTAATATTTTTAATAAGTTACCCAATTTTGACTCCAAAAGTTCCAGTAATTCTGCATACAGTTAACAAAACAAAGATTGCAGCCAGATTATAAAATGAAACACTAACCAGACACTTCTTTTTTGGAATCTTACCTAAGTAGTACTTCTCTGAGTTTCACGAAAACCTCTTTACTTTGAAAATGTAGAACATTTAATGCTTGAGTTATCCTTAACAGCTCTACTGGTCTATAGTTTTCCAAATTTTTATGCAGAACTGAAGCAATTCTAGAACAGAATAAAACATATATTAGAACAAACTCTCACTTATTCAACACTGTGAAGTTTTCATGCCAGCCAATGTTCTATGCTACAGAAATAGCAGTAAATAAGGCAAGATTTTCTGTTCTTATATGGCTGCCTCAAGATTGAACACAAATATAAAGAATTAAAATAAAATGGAATAGAATCAATGAATGTGAATGAAATAATATTCCACTATAATAGCACGAGGAGAGAAATGCAGTTCTACTCTCTACTCAAAAAAATTTAAACCTCTTTAAAGTAGATATCAAATACCACTTTCTCCCAAACAAAAATTTACCAGGTTACTAACAAGTAACAAAACTGATTTAACTTTCTTTCTTAAATCCATTGGCCCTCAAGTGGAGATGCTTACAAGAAGTAGGATCCTGAGCTCTGCAAATGTGATACGCAAATGAGAAAGAGGAAAGAATCAAACATTATTAATACAGGAAACCATCCAACTTCAAGAAATGAACACAGAATATTGAAGACAACAA